TACAAAGAAGAAAGAAGCTATAATTAAGAAGATATAGATGTTAATTGCTTTTTGTGTGAGTCAAAGTCAGTGTTCAGTGATTGTTCCTTTTCGTAAGAATTCAAATTAATGTAAGAGTTCAAATTAATGTGGACAAAGTTGGCTAAACTTTCAGAATTCCTTGTGGAGTTGAAGAAGATGCAGAATGATAATGTTGGTGTACTGACTTGGTTCATTTCTTTCAATGTATATAAAAAGTTCTCTTCCAGAATCCAGATTTTGAAGAGGATTTAGACTCAAGGCAGATTTTGCTAAGCCTGGAGTAGATAAAATGTGGAACTGGAGGAGCACAGCAGGTCCGATAGCATCCGAGGAACAGGAAAGTCGACATTTCGGGTTGGGAACCTTCATCAGGATTCCTCAGCATCTACAGTCCTTCCTATCTCTTTTGCTGACTGTGGAGTCTGATTGTGCTATCACCAGTTAGATTCTGAGCAGACTGGGTCACTGTTAACAGCAAACTATTTCTTACCAGACTGAAGCAAAGCAGTCTGGACATTACAATTAAACATTTATTTCAAAGACCAGGAGTTTAGGTCATGTGATGAGTTTCCTGAATAAACCAGTTTCAATTTAACAAGAGATAGTAAGAACTGTCGATGCTGGAATCAAAGATAACACAGTGTGGAGCTGGAGGAACACAGCAGGCCAGGCAGCATCGTGAATGAATATGATTTGGTAGCCATTACGGAGACATGGTTACAGGATGGTCACGACTGGGAGTTAAATATCCAAGGGTACCAGACTATTCGGAAGGACAGACAAGAAGGTAAGGGAGGTGGTGTAGCTCTGATATTCAAGGACGCCATCAGGGCGGTGCTGAGAGATGATATAGGTTCTATGGAGAATGAGGTTGAATCCATTTGGGTGGAAATTAGAAATTCTAAGAGGAAAAAGTCACTGATAGGCGTAGTCTATAGGCCACCAAATAATAACATCACATTGGGGCGGGCAATAAACAAAGAAATAACTAATGCCTGTAAAAATGGTACGGCAATTATCATGGGGGATTTTAACCTACATGTAGATTGGTCGAACCAGCTCGGTCAGGGTAGTCTTGAGGAGGAGTTAGTTTTCTTGAACAGTATGTAATGGAACCAACGCGGCAGCAAGCTATCCTAGATCTGATCCTGTGTAATGAGACAAGAATAATTAATGACCTCATAGTTAGGGATCCTCTTGGAAGGAGTGATCACAGTACGGTTGAATTTAGAATACAGATGGAGAGTGTGAAGATAAAATCCAATACCAGGGTCCTGTGCTTGAACAAGGGGAACTACAATAGAATGATGGAGGACTTGGCTAAAGTAGACTGGAAACAAAGGATTTTATGGTGGGACAGTTGACGAGCAGTGGAGGACTTTCAAAGCAATCTTTCAAAGTGCTCAGCAAAAGTATATTCCAATGAAAAGGAAGGACTGTAAGAAAAGGGGTAATCTGCCATGGGTGTCTAAAGAAATAAGGGAGGCTATCAAATTGAAAGAGAAGACATACAAAGTGGCCAAAAACAGCATGAAACTAGAAGATTGGGAAAACTTTAAAGGTCAACAGAAAGCCACAAGAAGAGCTATAAGGAAAAGTAAGATAGAACATGAGAAAAAACTAGAACAGAATATAAAGACAGATAGGAAAAGTTTCTAAAAATATATAAAATGAAAAAGAGTGGCTAAAGTAAACATTGGCCCTTTAGAGCATGAGAAGGGGAATTTAGTTATGGGATATGATGAAATGGCCGAGGCATTGAACAGGTATTTTGTATCGGTCTTCACAGTGGAGGACACTAATAACATGCCAGTAATTGACAAAGAGACGAAGGTAGGTGAGGACCTGGAAACAATCATAATTATAGAAGAGGTAGTGTTGGGCAAGCTAATGGAGCTAAGGATTGATAAGTCTCCTGGCCCTGATGGAATGCATCCCAGGGTACTAAAAGAGATGGCGGGAGAAATAGCAGGTGCACTGGCGGTAATTTTCCAAAATTCGCTGGACTCTGGGGCAGTCCCAGCAGATTGGAAAACAGCAAATGTGATGCCACTGTTTAAAAAGGGAAGTAGACAAAAGATGGGGAATTATAGACCGGTTAGCTTAACCTCTGTAGTGGGGAAGATGCTTGAGTCTATTATCAAGGAAGAAATAGCAAGGCATCTTGATAGAAATTGTCCCATTGGGCAGATGCAGCATGGGTTCATGAAGGGCAGGTCATGCTTGACAAATCTTTTGGAATTCTATGAAGACATTACGAGCGAGGTGGACAATGGGGACCCAGTGGATGTGGTGTACCTAGACTTCCAAGGGCCTTTGACAAGGTGCCGCACAAGAGGCTACTGCGTAAGATAAGGATGCATGGCATTAAGGGTAAAGTATTAGCATGGATAGAGGATTGGTTGACTAACAGGAAGCAAAGGGTGGGGATAAATGAGTGCTATTCTAGCTGGCAGTCAGTAACTAGTGGCGTGCCTCAGGGATCGGTGTTGGGACCACAATTATTTACAATTTATATAAATGATTTTGAGTTGAGGTCCACGTGTAGGGTGTCAAAGTTTGCAGATGACATTAAGATGAGTGGCAAAGCAAAGTGTGCAGTGGACTGTGAAACTTTGCAGAGGAACATAGATACATTGAGTGAGTGGGCAAAGGTCTGGCAGATGGAATACAATGTAAATAAATGTGAAGTCATACGTTTTGGTAGGAGTAATAGTAAAAAGGATTATTACTTGAATGGTAAAAAGTTGCAGCATGCTGCTATGCAGAAGGACCTGGGTGTCCTTGTGCGTGAGTCACAGAAGGTAGGTCTGCAGGTACAACAAGTAATTAGGAAGGCAAATGGAATTTTGTCCTTCATTGCTAAAGGGATTGAGATTAAAAGCAGAGAGGTTATGTTGCAGCTGTACAAGGTGCTGGTGAGGCCACACCTGGAGTACTGTGTGCAGTTTTGGTCTCCTTACTTGAGAAAGGATGTACTGGCACTGGAGGGGGTGCAAAGGAGGTTCACTAGGTTGATTCCGGAGTTGAGGGGGTTGGCTTATGAGGAGAGACTGAGTAGATTGGGATTATATTCATTGGAATTCAGAAGATTGAGGGGGGATCTTATAGAAACATATAAAATTATGAAGGGAATAGATAAGATAGAAGTAGAGAGGATGTTTCCACTGGCAGGTGAAGCTAGGACAAGAGGGCATAGCCTCAAGATTAGAGGGAGCAAATTTAGGACTGAGCTGAGAAGGAATTTCTTCACCCAGAGGGTTGTTAATCTATGGAATTCCCTGCCCAGTGAAGTAGTTGACGCTACTTCAGTAAATGTTTTTAAAAAAAAGGTAGATTTTTTTTGAACAATAAAGGAATTAAGGGATACGGTGAGAACGCGGGTAAGTGGATCTGAGTCCACGAAAGGATCAGCCGTGATCTTACTGAATGGCGGAGCAGGCTTGAAGGGCCATACGGCCTACTCCTGCTCCTAGTTCTTATGTTCTTAAAGGAGCAGGAAAGCTGATGTTTTGGGTCGGGACCCTTCTTTAGAAACCCCATTTCAATTTAACAAGGTAGTTTCTACCTATTATTTTGTCGCTCCTTGGCCAGGGCCATTGTTTGCATGAGATACATGGTGAACTATTAGCACCACTTTGGACATTATGAATTTCAGTTGTTTCCCTGTTCTCAGAAATGGCTGGGGAAGACATCTCTTCTGCTTGTCCTTTTGTGTTTGTGGAGTGGAAGGTTCACACGATGCAAGGGTGTGACATTGTGGAAGGATGGTGTTGGAATTCTGTCCTGGTAATTGCTGATTCGAATCCTTCCAGAAATTGTAGTCAATTTTCATCATGTGATTGGTGTTTTCATCTGACCCAGTTGATTTTAAAATTTAAATGAAAAGGTATAGCTTTTAAAATAACCCATGATCTCACTCTGTAATTTGTAGAAATCACAATGCCCGATAGGAACTGGTCAGCGAGGCTTGTGAGAACATTTATTTTGTTAGTAGTGCCTTATGGATAAGCTGTTCTTCAAAGGTTTCAACTAGGATTCCAGCGATTCTGATAATGCCAGTTGTCAAGTTAGATAAACAAAAAGGGATAAAACGTAACATTTTTCTATTACAACAGGAACTCTGCTCCTTTACAAAGATATTTATACTTGTATATTAACCATTTATTCTCTCATCGACATCAGACCTCAGCAGAACACTGGAATAACATTCTGCAAGCCATTTCTGATTGTGAACGGCTGAAGTCTCTTCCAGTTATCCAGATCGCATCTATCCAATAGTGCTATTATAAACATCATCTTAACTTATTTAGTGTTAATTGGAGAAGGGAAAATCTTGGTATCAGCCAGAAATTGAAACCTGATCAAATTAATATTACTGATGAAGGTTGATTGAAGAAGGTCAAAAATCTAGCCAAGTGGAGTTTGTTCACAATTCCTCAGAAAAGTGCAGGTTCCTGTACTGTAAATCAAAGCCAGTTTCCCAACTCGTGCTTTCCTCTTCGTGAACTTAATCTGAAACAATCAATTGTTATTAAAGGATTGTGTATTCCAGACACTGCACATAATGGATACAATTCACAGTGAGTTGGGGACGGTGGGAGTAAAGGGGCATCTCCTCACAAATTGTCACTGACATATCCTCCATCTTTCCCTGTTGAGCTTCATGTTTCATTCTGGATTGCTGGGTTAAACAGATCATTAAATAAATACAAGAAAATTCTTATTGGGCTATTCATAATGTTTTCCATTTAATATGTGCTGGCCAAAATAAGCCAATTCTCACACATTAGTCCCCTGTGAGCGTGTCATTATAAAACATACTAACCAGCCCAAAAGGGGTAATTTCAAGAATAAATGTTTTTCACTTCTCTGGAGCATGACTTTTTTTATCATGTAATTTGATGCCACACTATGAGTTTGGTTTCTTTGCAGACTGGTCAAGAAGGTAAAGTCAAGAAATGTCTTCAGACTTTGACTTGAAAGTAAGACTATTTATTATACATTAATGCTAAATATTGCTATACATGGTAATCACAGATATACCGGCCTCTGACTTATAGTTACATTTGGTAAGGAATAATCTATCTTTTTTATTGTTTCATGTTCATGTGCTTGAGAGTCTTCCAGTTTAAAATGTAGCGTAGTGGTCTAATCTGGAGTAGACTTCCAGAGTATGCTAACTTCACTCACACTGTGGTATTTATACTCAGTGATGTGTAGCTCCATGACATCATCTCAAGGTTGCCCAAAGGTTCTGAAGCCCTTACACAAAAAATGTGACAGAAGAGACTCAAGGTTAGTCAATTATCAGGAGCTGAACCCACTAAGTACTAATTATCATCAGAGCAAGGCCAAGCCAACTAAACAATGCATTCAAGCTGCCTTTGGTATGAGAGATAAATGAGGAAGCCATACATTCCTGAAAGGTTGGAGATGGGGGTCCCTGAATTTCTTCCTTCTAGCACTGTTCATATTTCATTCTCAAAGATGTGGTGACGCAGGTGAGCTGGGCATTCACTATCCACCCCCATTGGCCCCTCAAAGGTAGTGGTCAACAACTTTCTGACTGAAATGAACAGCGAGAAAGTTGAGTGGGTCGTATGAATATCCAGTCCTGTGTCCTTGACTACACCTATTGGAACCACTTCCCAGAACTGTGGCTGGCTGCCCTACACCTTTATCTCTTTGAGAATACTGGTGAGGGATTGATGGCAAAATAAAAACTCTTCACAACATAAAATTAAGAAAACACTTTATTCTGAGAATCCTGTTTGGCAAAGTTCTCTGCCTTTGTTATACTTGGCAACAGAAATGGACAGAAAATCAGTTTTTGCAGCTCCTCAATCACAAAGTAAACATGTATGTTTTGAAAGCTTGAAATAATGTTCCGTATGGGAAGGGGGGCGGTTAAAACTCCCCTGCTCATTTCATCACCCCACCCCTGGGAAAAAAAAACTAGTGGATGTTATTCTAATAGAAGGGCCTCTTGAATAGATTAAATTGGTCTTTGACTGACAGTGTGAATCAGGCAATATCACAGCAAATCAGAAACCCTTCACCTCCCCCCTGACTTCCCTTTCCATTGCTTCTTTGTGGGCATGGTATAACACTGGCTGCTGATTTGCTGTGAGCCTAGTTCAGGGTACCAGCACAGAACAACTCCATGTCTTCTAATCCGTCCCCACCCTCCCCCTTCACATCATTTGATTGTCATCAATACTTTTTGTAGATCCATGCACAAACTATTTCAATAAAGTGCCCTACAGAATTCCTGGTACTGGCATAAGTGGAAAAAATGTTGGTGCCTAGTGTTGCAATCTTTTTAGCTTTAAAGAACTGAAAGATTCATCTCCAGCAATCAAAAGTATGATCTTAATATTCAGGGACATCTGTTTCCTTTGTTTTCAGATTTGTTCCCCTTCAATGCAAGATGAATCGCTCTCAAGATGTATTAACCCGCTATGACTTGTACAACTCACTGATTGGCTAATGTTTTCACACCTCTCACTATTAGCCAAACATGTCTCGACCCTTCCCTCAGTTGTCTCAAATCTTGCTTTAACTGCCCTTACCTCATCTGCTTCACAGACCCTATACTCTTTCCTTTAACAATACCATTCTTCATGACTACTTTCAATGCACACAATTTAACACCTTACCTGGAGGTCCGCATGACAAGATCACCTGTAGAAACATCCCATCTGACCTCCCTTGAACATCAGCTCATGGTCCTGTCATGCATAAAAGGCAGCCTAGTGAAAGTAGCTCAAAAGCCCTGGATTGATGTTGATCTAACACAAGGTACTTATCCACTCACCCATCTATACAACTGCCAACATACATCCTAACCCTCCAGTCAGCACCATGTAGCATAGTCACAACTAGTACATCAGGGACTGGAAGTCCACAATGTAATGAAATGGAATTTAATACCCCAATGCACCCAAAAAGCCATTTCCTTTAGTTTCAGAAACAATAAATGAAACGTAATTCAGGTTTATTGCCATATCATGATGCTTCGCCCAATCATTTTGTAAGATAATAAAGATCTTAACCCCTTTAAAATAAATCCTATACTGGTGACCAGTGTGAATGTGCTTCTCCACATTTTATATTCACATACTAGATCAGGAATATTGGCTTCATGTTACAAACCTGTGCTCTGGTATGGACCTGTCTGCGAGGAGAACACCTTACTTGGAATTTGGATGCATCATCTCATCACTCACAATCCTGTCCCCATGTGATTTCTCATTCATGAAAATTTGAGGACATGTTGTAGGAAATGAGTGTGCATGCCTAGGAGTAGTGACTGGAATCTTAAGCTCATGAAATCAGGCCTTGTAGAAGGGTCCCACCCCAAACTCAATCCTTCAGATGGTAGAAATGTGGGATTTTTCCTTTGATGAGTACGTGATCAGTTCAGCAGTAAGTCACCCTGACAGACACTGTTAGAAGTCTAAGAAATGCACAGCATTTAGCAGAGAGGGAACCACCTTATAATCCAATCTAACATGGGCACAAATCTTTCACTGATCATGGTTACACATCAGTGCTTAAGATGCATTCTTTCAGTTTCTCCCCTCTATTGTCCTATAACTCAAAAGGTCGTTGTGATCTGCAATCTAAGATGTTTCCTACTAAGTTTCCTACTAACTACTAAGCTGACGTGGTCTACATCAAATCTATACTGGCTTACTGCCTTCCACTACACATTGTAATCAACATGCTTGACTTGTTCATTCTCTCAACTATACAGTCATCTTTGAAAACCTGCCTTTCAACTCTGATCAATGGCTTATGGATCAGTAACATAGGAATAGGAGAACACCAACTGTCTTTCAATCATGTTAAGTTCATGGTCGATTTATCTTTTAATGCTACTCATTCACCTTTGTTCTGTAACCCCTAATGCCTCTACTGAACAGAAGTCCAATCAATCTTAGTTTTCATATTTTCAATTAACAGTTTTTGAGGGAAGAGTGCTCCAGATTTCCACTGCTTTTTGTATGAAGAAGTGATTCCTGACATCATCCATGAATGGCTTACTGCTAAATTTTGTTGTTACATCCCTTGTTCAGGGCTTCCCTCACTTGAGGAAATAGCATCCCTCCAGCTACTCTTTCAAATGCTTTACACATCTTAAAAGTGAGCTCAGTACAATAAAATGTAATGGGTCAGATGAGGTACAGCCCATGAAGTGTTAACTGGGCTTACACCCCAGTTCTACATTTTGATCCACCACCAACCTCTGGCTATTTTCTATGCTACTCTTTGTCGACAGCTTTCCAAGGTCCGCTGTGACTACAGCCACCAGGAGATTAATAGCTGTTCATTGGACCACTTTCCTAGAGGGTGTCAACAGCAGTCCAGAACCCGCTCCCTCAGTGTAAACACACACAGCATCCTCCTACTGACTGTGGAAGTGTGGGTCTGAGAAACAGTGCTTAAGACTGCAGATAACACTGTGCCAACATTTGAACCATGCTAAAACTGCCAGGAGGCTCATCAGGCACAGTGAGTGCATGATGAGTTTGTTCATTGAATTGTGCCTTTTACATTGAAATACTTCATTGTCAAGGTCAATAACACAGTTGAAACCTGTTTACTGGGGTGCCCTAGTGGATACAAATTGCCCCATTTATCAGATCATCCCTAGGAAGCAAAATCCACTGGTATGATGCAAATATATATAGTTTTATATATATGTAACTATGCCTGAGAAATATATCCTGTAGGCATAACCCCATTAAGCAGTGCCAACTGTGTCGCGATGAGACTGTGGTGGGACTCCAGGTCAACATGTGGGACTCCATGTTGACCTGCATAACGTTCTGAACACCAGTCTGTGCTAAGCACACTGCTCGAGGATGAAGAGAGACAGAGGAGCAGGTGCCAGGGTTATTCCTGCTGTTCATTCATTTCCATGTCAGACACCAGGATGTTTTTCTCCACGGATTCGCTGGGCGTTGAGGATGTCCTGCTGTACCGCGCACTCTCAAAAGCCCCACGGCGCGAGGTCCAGGCTGTTCGCCGTCGGTATAGCAGCAGCACCACCACTAACACCACCACTAGCACCAATGCGCCTAGCATGTACAAGATGATGTCTAAGGTGTGCCCCTGTGACCCAGCTGCAAATACAAACACAAACACAGAACCAGAACATTAAAAAAACATTCTCAAAATCAGGTCACTGTGTCCAAATGGAAATAGGCAGAGTAACAGGATGAGATTTACTTACAGGTACCAAGAAGGCTGTTCTCTTGAACTGTGAGAGTAAATTGAAAATAAAATTGCATTAATTTAGTTATCATCGGAAGAATTAACTAGAAGGTCTCCTACTTGAGTTAGTAACAGTGTAAAATGGATAATTGTGACTTGTGTGTCCACCTTACATCACTCCTGATTGAAGCCAATGGGTTTACTGTCCCACAAAAGTCAAAATTGTGTTGATTCATTTGGGGGCCATGAGAATTGCACAATAATCCGACTCAGCGTCTGAGAGCTATTGGGTGGGGGAACAGAAGGATTCAGCAAATGATTCTGTTCGTCATCTTTAATCCACTGATATTTGCTGGAAAGTTCACTAATGTGGATTTGGATGAGGTGGTGGGAAAATCTCAGCTGAGATATTCTCCATACTAGGAACTAAATGGTCACCTTTGTACAGTCCTCTATCAGGAGTTGTTACTTTTGGGTGGGAGGAGAGATTCCCTTAAGGCTGTTTTGTCCATGTAATAATATCAGCCATTTGCACAGCCCTAGGTGCGTACCCATCCATTGTTGGAACAATGTCACTTTTTGGCCACATCATAAAATCTCCCCTTTTATTTCTTACCTCTTGGCATTTTGCAGATGATGCCTAGTGTGAAGCTGGTACAGGGACCAATTCCCCAGATGCCAGTGTTGCTCTTGATCCAATAGCAAGTGTTTGGACTCATTAAACTCATGTTCTCAGTTCCACGAGCCCAGTTTGAATAGTTCAAGACAGTCTTATCAGGCCAGACAAGTGAACCACCTTAAAAAAAAATCAGCAGGATGAAGGGCTGATTGTACCCAACTGCATGGCAACAACACTATAACCACTACTTGATAACCACACTAATAATTTTGCATGGTAACCTTATTAACTACTTGATACTGTAACCGCACAATAACCTAAGTATGTAACATGGTTGCAGAATTACAACACATGGTAACAAGAGCTCTAGAAATAGCATTTAGCTCATTGAACCTGCTGCATGTTTTAATACAATAATGGCTGGTTTTGGGCTTCAACTCCACATTCCTGTCCACTTCCTGTATCTGAGCCCAAGATATGAAAAATCCATCTATTTCAGCCTTATAATGTATTCAACAATGGACCATTCATCATCTTCTAGGGTACAGAAATCAAACATTCATGATCCTTTTTGAGTGATTTATCCTCATCTTATTCCTAAATGGTTAGTCCTTTTTTCTGAGACTGTGCCCCAATATTTTAGATTCCCAACCAGGAGAAATAATCTCTGAGCACCTTAACCTATCAAGGCTCTTCAGAATCTCTCATGTTTCAATGAAATCACCTCTCATTCAAAACTTAGAGAACACTGGCCCAATTTACTTAGCCTTGTAAATGACAGTACACCCCTCATTTCCAGGAACAATTTAATGAACCTTTGCCGCACTAATTTCTCTTTATTCATTCACGGAATGGAGGTTCTACTTGCTGGGCCAACATTTGTTGCTCATCTGCAGGTGCCCTCGAGAAGGTAGTGCTGAGTTGCCTTCTTGAACCGCTGCAGTCCATGTGCTGTTAGTAGACCTACAATGCCATTTTGGAGGAATTTCCAGATTTTGATCCAGTGACACTGAAGGAATGGCAATATATTGGGATAGTGAGTGGCTTGGAGGGGAACTTGTAGGTAGTGGTGAGATGAGACTAACAACCCTTGACATCAAGGAGCCCTAGCAAAACTGGAATCAATGGGTATCAGGGCGCAAACTCTCTGCTGGTTGGAGTCATACTTGGCACATAAGATGACGGTAATGGTTATTAGAGGTCAGAATGTCAGTCATTTCAATCTCACAGGATCTCTGCAGGAGATCTTCAGGTTAGTGTCCTAGGCCCCACCATCTTCATCTGCTTAACGATGATCTTCCCTCCATCATAAGGTCAGAAGTAGGGATGTTTGCTGATGACCACACAAGGTTCAGCACCGTTCCCGACTCCTCAGATACTGAAGCAGCCAATGTCCAAATTCAAAAAGATCTGGACAATATCCAGGCTTGGGCTGGCAAGTGACAAGTTACATTCCTGCCACACAAATGGTGGGCAATGACCATTTCCAATAAGAGACAATCTATCCACGGCCCTTGACATCCAGTGGTGTTACCATCACTGAATCCCCCACTATCAACATCCAGGGGTTACCATTGGCCAGAAAAACAACTGGACTCACCACACTCATCTCTGTGTATCACTTGCTGCTTGTACTGTTTGACATACAAGTAGTCCTGTTTGGTGGTTACATAAGGTTGACACCTTACTTTTATGTTTGCCTGGTGCTGTTCCTGGCGCACTCTCCGTTGAACCAGGGTTGATCCCCTGGCTTGATGGTAATAGGTTGAGTGGGGGATATGCCAGGCCATGAGGTTACAGATTTTGCTGGAGTACAATTCTGCTGCTGTTGATGATCCACAGTGCCTCATGGATGCCCAGTATTGAACTGCTAGATCGGTTTGAAGTTTGTCCCATTTAGCATGGTGATAGTGCCTCACAACATGATGGAGAGTGCTCTCAATCTGAAGGTGGAACATTGTCTCCACAAGAACTATGCAGTGGTCACTCTCACTGATACGGTCATGGGCAGGAGCACCTGCTGCTGGCAGATTGGTAAGGATGAGGCCAAGTATGTTTTTGCCGCTTGTTGGTTCCCTCACCACCTGGTCAGACCCAGTCTAGCTGCTATGTTCTTTAGGACCCGACCAGCTCAATCAATAGTGTTGTAGCCGATGCATGCTTGGTGATGGACATTCAAATCCCCCCACCCAGCTTGTATTTTGTGCTCTTGCCATCCTCAGTGCTTCTTCCAAGTGTTGTTCAATATGGAGGAGTACCAAATCATCAGCTGAGGGAGAATGATAAATGGTAATCAGCAGGAGGTTTCCTTGTTCACGTTTAACCTGAAGCCATGAGACATCGGCACAGTCACCACCAGCCGAAGGAGGACCTCAGCAAGACACCCTCCAAGTTTGAGTGAAGATGTGTGTCCCGCAGGGGGTGGTGATGACACTGGTTGGCAGTTGGGGTGAAGATTTGCATTGATGCAGTCACCACTACCAAACAGGGGTTTGAAGAAGAAGTGTTGTCAAGGGACAGTGAGTGGTCTTGCCCTGGTGCAGGTGACTACAATGGAGAGACTAGATTGGTGAGTAGCGTGTAAGGCAGGGAAGTCCTTACAACTTCTATCACTTACAGTACTCATTCTGGCTTCGAATCTGTAAGGGTAGTACACAGACCAGGAAAGAAGGGCCACAGGTAACTGGATTTGATTTAACCTTATATAAGGTACTCTCCAAGGTTTAGTTTAAACAGGTAAACCACGGCTGGAGAGCTCAAAGTCTTGGTTTTCTCCTCTTGCTCAATGGGGCAGACTGAGAACAGTTCCAGCTTCCCCCCCCACCGTGTCAGTACATATGCAGTAAGTGTCTCCAGCAACAGCTCCTGGCAGCTCGAATTGCAGAGCTGAAGCAACGGATGGAAACTGTGGAGCATCTGTGAGGCAGACAGTATTGTAGGTAGCATGTAAAGAGAGGTGGTCACATCACAGGCTCAGACTTTGTAGGCGGGAGGGGAATGGGTGATCACTAGGTAGAGCAAGAGAGATAGGCAGGTAGTGCAGGAATATATTCCCCTGCAAAACAGATATAGCGTTTTGGAAGCTGTTGAGGGGAATGACCTCTCAGAGGAAAGCAGCAGCAGCCAGACTTGTTACACCAAGATTGGTTCTGCTGCGAAGGGGAGGGGTAAAAAGTGTGCCAGGGCTATAGTCATAGGGGACTCAACTGTAGGAGGAATAGCTAGGCGTTTCTGTGGTCACAAACGAGATTCCAGGATTGTATGTTGCCTCCCTGTTGCTAGGGTTAAGGATGTCTCGGAGCAGGTACAGGACATTCAAAAGGGGGAGAGTAAACAGCCAGTGGTTGTAGTCAACATCGGTACAAATGACAGGTTAAAAGAAAGGGATAAGGTCCTAAAGACAGAACACAGGGAGCTAGGAAGAAAGTTAAGAAATTGGATCTCAAAGGTAGTGATCTCAGGATTACTCCTGGTGCCATGTGCTAGTCGGAGGACAAATGGCAGGATATATCAGATGAATACATGGCTGCAAAGATGGTGTCAGGAGAGGGTTTCAGATTCCTGGGGCATTGGGACCAGTTCTGGGGGAGGTGGGACCTGTACAAATTGGACGGGTTACACCTGGGCAGGACTGGGACTGGTGTCTTAGGGGGAATGTTTGCTAGAGTGGTTGGGGAGAGTTTAAATTAATTTGCCGAGGGATGGGAACCTATGTAAAGAGTCATAAGAAGGAGGCAACAAGGACTAAAACAAAAGCTATAAAAGGGAATAAGAAGAGTGATATGCTGAGAAACCAAGGAAAAAATTCAAACAGGGCTATTCAGAAAAATAAGGAGAAGACAAACACAGTTAAATGGACAAGCTTAAAGGCTTTGTGCCTTAATGTGCAGAGCATCTGCAATAAAGTAGATAAACTAATTGCGCAGACAGATGTAAATGAGTACCATATAATTGGGATTAGGGAGACATGGCTGCAGGGTGACCAGGGATGGGAACTGAATGTCCCAGGGTATATTTAGGAAGGACAGGCAAAAAGGAAAAGGTGGCGGAACAGCACTGCTGGTTAAAGAGGAAATTAACACAATAGTGTGAAAGGATATTAGCTCTGACAATGTGGAGTCTGTATGGATAGAGGTGAGAAATACCAAGGCGCAAAAACATTAGTAGGTGTCATATATAGACCCGCAAACTGCAGTGATGTCGAGAATGGCATTAAACAGCAAATTAGAGGTGCATATGAATACGGAATATTGGTGATCATTGGGTGATTTGAATCTGAACATAGATCGTGCAAATCAAATTAGCCACAATGCCGAAGAGGAGGAATTCCTGGAGTGTATACAGGATGGTTTTCCTGACAAATATGTGGAGGAACAAACTGGAGAGCAGGCTATCTTAGACTGGATGCTGGTTAATGAGAAGGGAATCATTGTCAGTCTCGCCATGCGAGACCTCTTGGGGAACATCGACCATAACATGATAGAATTTTTTTATCAAGATGGAGAGTGAGGTTGTTGATTCGGAGACCAGGGTGTTGAACCTTAATAAAGGAAACTACGAGAATATGAGGCGTGAGTTGGCCTTGATAGACTGGGGAGAGTTACTTAAAGGGATGACAATGGATAGGCAATGGCATACATTCAAGGAACACATGGGGAAACTGCAACAACTGTTTATTCCAATCTGTCGCAAAAGCAAAATGGGTAAGAGAGCCAATCAATGGCTTACAAAGGGAATAAGAGATAATATCGATCCAAGGAAGAAGCATACAGATTGGCCAAGAAAGATAATAAATCTGAGGATTGGGAATAGTTTAGAATTCAGTAAAGAAGGGTCAAGGGATTGATTAAGAAGGAGAAAATAGAGTATGAAAGTAAGCTTGCAGGGAACAAAGAGTGAGGCTAAGAGTTTCTGTAGGCATGTGAAGAGAAAGAGATTGGTAAAGACAAATGTCTTCACAAAAGAGGACACAAATCAGATATCACAATTGTTGGAGGATGCAAGATTTAGTGAGAGGAACAGCTGAGGAAGATCAATATTAGTAGAGAAATGGTGCTGGGAAAATTGTTGGGATTGAAGGCTGCTAAATCCCCAGGGCCTGATAATCTACATCCCAGAGTACTTAAGGAAGTAGGTCTAGAAATAGTGGATGCATTGGTGGTCATCTTCCAGGATTC